CACTGCAGACGAATCTGTCCTGCCCAACCCAGCGGAGTCCCAGACGTGGGCTTCCCTCCGCTCGAACCCGTTTTTCGACCTCCTTGACGAATTCAAGGATGTATTCCCTGACGACGTCCCCTGCCGGCTACCCGTCGACAAGGGCATACGCCACGAAATTGACCTCGTGCCCGGCACGAAGTATTGCGTTCTCGCCAATGGCCGCTTCCACGTGATCAAGTCGAAGCGATCGACGCCTTCTTTGCGGCTCGTAAAGCCGCCGGCCATGTCCGCGAAAGCACGTCCCCACACAGCAGCCCGACGTTCTGTGTGAAGAAACCCAATGGCAAATGGCGGATCGTTCACGCCTTTAATAAGCTCAACGCCGCTACCATCCCGGCGCAAACACCGATCCCTCGCAAGGATGTGATTATCGACGGCATGGGTCGATCCACCATATTCTCGACCATCGACCTGCGCGATGGATTTCATCAAATTCTAATGCACCTTTGTGACGCACCGAAGACCGCCGTCTCGACACCAAGCGGAATGCTTTGGGAATGGCTCGTGATGCCCCAAGGCCAATCCAATGCCCCTGCGACGTTCAATCGCTTGGTGACGGCCAAGTTCCGCCCTCTTCGCTACTTTGCCCCGTCCTATTTCGACGACATCTACATCCACAGTCGCGGCTCTAAAACCGAGACCGACGTCGAGGTTCACTGTCGGCATCTTCGCGCAGTTCTCACCGTACTTCGTGAGAATGGCTTGTACACCAACCTCTCCAAATGTCTGTTTGGGGTCGACGAAATCCCTGTCCTTGGCGACCTCGTCGGCATTCGTGGTCGTCGGGCTGACCCCGACAAAGTCAAGACAATCCTCGACTGGCCGATTCCCTCCTCGGTTACCGACCTTGCGTTGGCTTGTCTTGGCTACTTACCTCCACAAGTATTCTCGTGGTTTTGCTGACATCGCGCAACCCACTTTCGGTTGCTAGTCAAGGATGCCCCATGGGTTTGGTCGGGCGACTGTCAATCCGCCTTCGACGCCCTCAAATCCAGTATCAAGAGCGCCCAATTTTGGCGCTCCCTGACTTTTCCAAGCCGTTCAGCGTCGTGTGTGACGCTTCTCAATTTGCCATCGGAAGTTGCTTGATGCAACCTGACGCTGATGGTCGCTGGCGCCCTATATCCTTTCAAAGTCGCCAACTGCATGCCGCCGAGCGCTCGTATCCCGTTCATGATCTCGAGCTCCTTTCGATCAAATACGCCCTCACCATGTTCCGCGTCTACCTCATCGGCGCGGACGCCTTTGTCGTATACACCGACCACGTGTCGTTGCGAACTGCCGTCAACACGCCCCACATGTCAGCCCGCATGGCTCGTTGGCTTTCCTTCTTCGCCAAATACAATTTCTCGGTTCAATACAAACCGGGCAAGGACAATGTTTTGGCTGACGCGCTCTCTCGGCGTCCAGATTACTCCTAGTCTGTGGACCTTGCCTCGATCGGATTCCTCCACTCCGATCTCCATGACCGTATCCAAGCCGCCTACTCTATCGACGCGAGTTGCTCGGCTGCGTTTAGTGCCCTCACCACTTCCGAGCCGCTCAAGTCTCGGCGATTACCGTCCTTACTCCATCGTTACTCTGTTCGCGATGGCCTACTTTACTTCCAGCCCACCCAGGACACGCCTCCACGCATCGTTGTCCCTGGGGATTCTGCGATTCGTGCCTCCCTTCTGCGTGCGTATCATGATTCACCCTGTGGCGGCCATTTCGGCCGCGACAAGATGTACGCCGAGCTGTCCCGTTCGTATTGGTGGCCTCGCCAATACAAAGCTGTCGCCCGCTACGTCGCTCGTTGCGACGCTTGCCAACGTACCAAGGTCGCGTTTTCCTCCCAGGCGCCACTACAGCCTTTACCGATTCCTGATGAGCTCTGGTCATCGGTCAGCATGGACTTTATGTTTGGTCTCCCGCGTGACGCTCGTGGTCACACAGGTATCATGGTTTGCGTCGACAGGGCGTCCAAGTACATCGTGGCCGTCCCTGTCAAGGAGTCCATCAACGGCGTTGACGCCGCTCGCCTTTTCTTCGATCATGTCTTCTGTCGCTTTGGCCTTCCGCGGTCCATTGTATCAGACCGCGATCCCCGTTTCACCTCCCACTTTTGGCCGGCTCTGTTCGAGCTCTGTGGCACCGACCTTGCCATGTCTACTACCGACCACCCCGAGTCGAATGGTCAGACGGAGCGTGCCAACCGCGCGCTTGAGGATATGTTGCGCGCGTACTCTGTAGTCCAACCTTCTGCCTCGTGGGCCACGCTCCTTTCCCACGTCGATTTGCGTACAACAAGTCCGTCCAGGCTTCTACGGGCGTCTCACCCCGCTATGCTGTCCATTTACAGACCCTCGTATCCCTCAACTCCTCGACAGTCCCGTTTCAGGAGGGGAGATGCTTCCTGCTATTTCTCCGGCGATCGAAGCCATCGCCGCAACTCGCGACCTTCCAGCGCGTTCCGTCCAGGACTTACGGACTTCCTTGCCCATGGTCAATCTGTGTTGCAACAGATCAGGGACAACCTCGCGCTCGCTCAGCAGCGGCAAGCGACGCACTCCGACCGCCGTGGTCGTTCCAATTTGGCGACCTTTTCTGTTGTACTCCTCCACAAATCGCCCCTCCTCGATCACGCCTTCCGTGCACGCGCCCCTGGAGCCAGCGCGCATGTCAAACTGCGTTCCACTTGGCACGGCCCGTTTGCCGTTCTTGATGTCGTGAGTTCGACTTCCTACAAACTCGAACTTCCCCCGATTGGAGCGTGCATCCGACCTTTTATGTCGGCAAGCTTAAACGTTACCATGCGCCTACACCTACACCTCCTACGACGGCGGTCGACGCGCCCTCCGCTCCTGTGGCGTCCTCTACCCTTCCTCTCGGTCGTCTTCTTCCGTCGGCCGCTGCTCCTCGGCCGGAGGCGACGGTGCCACGATGTGTGCCTGACGCTCTTCCAGGTTTTCCCGCTACTCCATCGCCTCCACCCTCAGGCGGGCGCGCTCCATCCGATACGCGGGCAGCATCGGTCGTTGACATTGCACCGGCGCCGCCGCAGCAGGTTCCGCCTTCATTCCCCCATACCCACGGTCGCGGTCCAGCGCAATCGACCGCCCCGACTCTTGCCGCCCAGCCAGCAGCGGATCCTCTGGGGGATTCCGCGTCCTTCCCGTTGGTAGGGGAGACGCTCCCAGCACCTCTGTTCGCGAAATCGACGGCGCCACCCCCGTCGTCGTTGACACTACACTCGACCGCACCACGGGTGGTGCAGTCGAAATGGACGAAGGGCGGACGACAGCTTGCCGTCGCAGACGGTTCATCTACGCGATGGTTGTCAGAAGCCGAGGTCCGCTCCAACTTACCTCGCGTTCACGCCGCGTTCCTGCGCGAACAGCGATCCGCGCGACAAGCTCGGCGGATAGTCGCCCGTAGATCGATCGACGGGTCAAAGCAAAATTAGCCAAAGACCCGGCCAAGGCCCCCACAGTCGTCGGCCAACCCACACGCCGATTCTTCTGCCGACCCGCCTTTGGTCGCAGCAACGAGTACACGAACACGGTAATGTACTCCAACACGTCTCGCCTTCACACAGGTCGACGTGCCCCACGTCGAGCACCCAACCTGGATCGCCTTCGCGCATGCGGTCTTTGTAGCGCGTGAACCCTCGTCCATCAGCGGCCACCAAAGTTATCGTGGCCACTGCGTTCAACGTCCACACGACGTGGCGCTCGAAAACGTCATGAGTTCGTCCAAATTCGGCCAAGCACACGTTGGCTTCAAACACCCGCGCTGGCATGCCGACTTCGTCGACGACATTGACGTCGCTCGTGACGTCGCATACGTATTCGTACGTTGCTTCGCCAAGTCCGCCCATCACGAACGCTTCGTCCGAAGCGTCCACGAATTGCACCTCCTCCATCCGAACTCGAGCGAAGTCGAGATCCTCCAACGTCCAACAGTGTTCCCGCGGCACCATCGTCGCGGGCACTTCCAACTTCCACGTCGTCGTCGCAGCACCGGGCAGTTCCGCACTTTACGCCTGCGCTGCCGC